ACCCACACCCACACCCACACCCACACCCACACCCACACCCACACACCCACACACCCACACCCACACCACACCCACACCACACCCACACCACACCCACCCACACCCACACCCGCACCCACAACCACTTTTGTCTATATATCATCGAAACTTTTGTTACCTTAACAATCTTTCTGGAATAAATGTCGTGCTTGTGTTTAAAGTTTAAAAGCCAGGTATCTGATGCCACAAAATTATTTATTGACATAGTTTTGGCTTCTCATATAGCCCATCGTTTCAAATCTATGTTGTGCACTGAGCCTAAAAGATCTCGAGCTCTCTCAAACTTGTCGTAAACGTAGTCATCTAATGAATCAATCTTTTGTTTCTTCGTTCCTTCTCGTTCAACATAGTTTTGAAATCGCGTCATATATGTCTGATAAATAATTCTTCTAAATTTGTGCTGAACATTTTTCCAAGAATGCGATCATTTTCTAGTTTTGGGATTGATTTCATCGTAATAATCAAGTGCTTGTCCCATATAGGCCAAAGAAAATGACTCAAGCATGAGTGCCTCATCATCTTTTTTCTCATAATCTGGATCCTTAGATGCTTCGTCAGTATCTTCCTCACACTCATCCATTTCGTTGTCTGATGTATTGTGGTCTAAAGTCGTTCCTTCCTTTCTATTTTACGTAGTGCTTGTCCATATTGATTCAAGAACATTGAATAATTGATTAGCTAAGTCTTCCCACTTAAAATGGAGTAAGTAATGACTTAGCTGGGATTTTTTTCATTGCAGGCTCTGAAAGCAATTGTATTATTCGATTTACTTCATCCATCTTCAATTCATTCGATTATAATCAACTATGTGATGGCTTTTATCATGTTACCAAGTCATTTTCTTTTGTTTTCCTTCTACTCCTTACATGTCTACTAGCATGATACGAAGCAAATGAGCACGTGTAATAGGTTTTTAATCATCCATGATCCCGATGGATACGTTCATTCGATTGACGAATAACAATTGAAAGTTTCGATGACATCATTTTCTCAGTTGTGAATAAAAATATTAACAAACAACAACGAGATTTATAAGAAATTGTCTTTATCGAAACATCATCATAACACGGTAAGAACGGCAAAGAAATGTAGGCAGTCAAATGACGAAGAGGAGCGACGAGAAAAACATCAATACACGTGTGAGATGTCGTCATATCGTTCGAAAGAAAAGAACGACAGAAATTGTTTTTTCTCCATCCATGTTTTTCTTCCTCAAAAACGCGGAGTTATATCGAGAAGAAAAAAATATTTCACGTTCTTCTTGTGAATATCATTGTGTTAATAGAATTGGCCAAATGTCTTTCATTTCTATTGCTTCATTGCACAACGCTTGGAAAAGTTTCCTATTATCTCGCTCGCCCATTATGGAAAAAAAAATACCATCTCGAGTGACTCATTGATGTCGCAATGGGACCCGCGTCCCGATGTAATTTTCTTTTTCATAGTTTGCTCATGTGTTTTGGTCGTCGTAAATTCATTCATTCTTCGATCAAGCCACTCGACAGAACAGAAAAAGAATCAACAGGCTTTAGTTATTTCACTGGGTTTTTACGCAATAAAATCCCCACTGTTTCTTACCTATAAAAACCAACATCACCTCTCTTCACCGCCATTGTTTTTCTAGATACAAACTATCTCTGAAATTACAAATGCCAAATAAAAATCGAAAAGGTAAAATAGTAAAGAAAGTTTCTCTTGAAGATTTTCCATCGTTTCTTCAGCTCAACGAGCCGCGCAACGCGCAGCAGCAGCAGCGAGTAACAACAATGAAAATGAAGATACAATTGACAACTCTTCACCCACTACTACAACATCTGTTCTTCAATCACCATCTCAAACTCAATTGGCCAATGTCGCAGCACCCGTCGAAATTGCTCCAGTGACTAATCTGCCTCCATCATCTGCCACACCAAAGTCCGCATGGACTCCTCAAGTACGACCAGCATCACCAGCTCAGCCTAATACACCTGCTCTTCCTGAAACTGTTTCATCTGGACCATCGGTTGTCCCAAAACCGACATCAGATCAACAAGCACCATCTCAACCTGAACCATCAGCGGCTTCAAAACAAGCCTGGGCTTCGAAATTTCCTCCTCAATCGATAGCCTCAGTTACTCCGAAACCAGCAGCACAAAAACCCGAGCCATCGACTGTTCCGAAAGCGACAGCGAATCCCTTGTCTCAAGGAACCTATCGTACTGATCGTGCTGCCAGTGCATATTCAATGACAAGAGAATCGATTTCAAGTTTAACGACGTCGAATTCTGATATTTCTTCGAGACAATCACGATCTCAAAGTGTTATCTCAAATAGAGGAGGAAGAGGACGACGCCTTTTACTCTCCGCTGTTCCTGATACGGCCAATTTAACTCCAATGCTTCGTCCAGATGCGGGTGGAAGCAAAGGTCGACCGATCTTTATCTACACGAATCATTTTTCGGTTAAGATCGATTACAATGCAACGGTCAATCAATACGATGTGGAAATAATGTTGATTGATCAAGATGGTAACCAACGTGTAGCTCGAAAAGATGAACGTTGGAAAGTAATGCAACTGATTGCTCAGAAAAAGAAAGATTTCCCTGCTGTTTGGTAAGTTGAACTATTCCCTTTACCGATTGGATGATCGATGATGAACCTGAATTTTTGTTTAGGTACGACGAAGGTAAAACATTGTATACGCGTGAATTATTACCAGATATAACAGAACCGATTCGAGTACAAATGGAACGAGACACTCAAATGAGAACATTTCAGTTGACCATCAAAAATCTTGTTCGACAGGAAAAGATGGAAAATATTCTGAAATTTGTTAAGAAAGAACTTCGCACTCGACCACGAGAAGCAGTTCGTGTTATTGAAACACTTTTCAAACAACGTGCTCGAAATGAACTCGTCTGTGTTAAAAATCAATTCTACAATCGAAAACAAACTCTCGATGATCTCCGTAGGTTTCTTTCATCGATTTTCATTTTGATAGATATGAATAATCGTTTATTTTCATAGAGGATGGACGAGGGATGGCTAAAGGTTTTTATCAAGCTTTGTTTCTGACCCGACTTGGTCCAACACTCAATGTTAATCTAACATTCACTTGTTTTTATATGCCAATAAATTTTGTTCAATTTGCTTGTCAATATTTACGTGAAGACATTACAAAAGGATTTCCAGATTACAAAGCCAAAGCATTCAGACAAATCATCCGAGATCTTCTTAGTATGCTCATCATCATCATTCTTTTGATTTATTGAAAACAAATTTCTTTTCTTTTGTTAGTTGAAACTGAACACACTACTCGAAATATTCGTTATAAACTCCATGGATTCGGTCGTCCTGCTAATCTGTTGACGTTTACTCCTCGTGAGACCAATGAAGAAATATCAGATGTAGCGTCAGCCTTACAGGAAATCACTGTTGAGAAGTATTTTGAACAAAAATACAACATCAAATTGAAATATCCACATTTACCCTGTATCGATGCACGAAGTGGATTAACGAAAAGAGCGAATTATCTACCAATGGAAGTGGCCAAAGTTAGTTGTTTGTCATTGAATCTATCAAGAGGCAATTCTACGTCGATTTTTAGGTCGTCGAATGGCAACGGGCATTGAAACCGTTAGATACAACTCAAAGAGCTCGTACCACTAGCAAATCGATTATCAAACCAGATCAACGATATATGGAAATCATGAATATCATGGATTCCCGTGACTTCGAAAAAGATCCTTATCTAAAACAATTGAATATTCATGTTGATAAGAGAGAAATGCTGCAAATCAAAGGTATTGGTCTATTAGAAACTGATTTTGATCATTATCGGCATTGATCATTTGTTTTTCAGCACGAATTCTTAACCCACCGGAAATTCGATTTCGTCAAGGTCAAAATGAAATTGTCGAATCTGTTAACGTTGGCAAATGGAGAATCGGTCGAAACCGATTCTATCGAGCACCAGAAATTAAAAGTTGGGGTTTGATCTATTATGGCCATCGTCCAAATCAACAGATAAATCAAACTATCAATGATTTTGCTTATCAATTACCTGAAGTAAGACCGTTCGATCTTTGATCGAATCATTCCTCTATTGATATTGTTTCAGTTGTTGAGACACAAAGGATTTATCATTCGACCAGACTTGAAATTAGTTCCGATTATTGAGACATCCAATATTGAAAAACCTTTAACTGAAGGAAGCAAAAAAGGTTGGCAATTGGCTATTGTCATTCTCAATACGGATGCTAGTCAAAGCTATAGTGATGTCAAACAAATTGGTCATCAGAAATTAGGTGTACGAACACAATGTATCGATTGGAAAACATTATGTAGAAATATGGATAAACTTCATATGTGTAAGTGAAGAACGACTTCACATTTCGTAACTTGACCGGATTCTTATAGATGTGGAAAATCTTAGTCAAAAGATCAACGTCAAATTGGGTGGAATCAATAGTATCGTCAATACGAAATTAGCTTTGACTCAATCATTTCAAAATGATCTCTTTATGTTCTTTGGAGCAGATGTAAGTCTTTCATCTTGAATGAGAATAGAGAAATATCGTCGTTTAGGTCACGCATTCGACTTCGTCGACTGACCGTCCATCGGTAGCAGCAGTGGTCGCTTCCCGTGAACCGACTAGTAGTCTCTATGCTGCTCGATTTTGTGAACGTAAATTATTGATTATTATTCCACAATCTGATCATATTGATTGATTTGTTTCTCCTACAGAATATCCAAAGAAAGGTCGTTGTTCAATTGAAATCATTAAAGAACTAGACAAAATGGTGGAAGATTTACTTCGAGTATTTGCTGGAACATGTAATGGACATCTACCGAATAAAATCGTCTTTTATCGTGATGGTGTTGATGAAGGACATTTCGAAAAAGTCCTTGGTAACGAAGTGAACAAAATCAAAGAGGCTTGTCGAAGTAAATTTTTATCGTGTCGATGAACGAAGTGAACAAATAAAGTTTTAAGGAGTTTATGGAAATCGTTCATTGCCATCAGTAACTTTTATTGTGGTAAAAAAGCGTCACAATACCCGTTTCTTTCTCTATGAGAATGGACAAACGTTGAACGTTCAACCAGGTACGGTAGTCGATCAAGACATCACTCATCCGTCTCAGTTTGACTTTTATCTGTGTTCACAAGCAGCGCTGTAAATCTTCTTTTGCCTTCATTTCTGTTTGATTGATTTGGGATGATTCGATTTAGAATGGGCACCGCACGTCCTACACTCTATCATGTTCTTCATGATGATAATGAATTCAGTAGTGACGATATTCAACAATTAACCTATTGGGTAAGTCGAGGTATCTTTCATTGTTTGTCAAAGACAAAATGATGATTGATTTTAGTTATGTCACACCGATATGCGTTGTACAAAATCTGTGTCAATTCCTGCACCAGTCTATTACGCTCATTTGGCTGCTTATGGATCACGATCGCTTGACTTCGATGCGAATCATCCAATACACAGGTAAAGAATATTCGATAGGTCATTTTCATTAATAATTGGAGATTTTCTAGTGATGGAAATGATAACGATGATAATGACGATGAAAATGTCGATGATGAAGATGATTCAACAAGTTATTCTCTTGAAGATATCAAAACCAAAGTGATGATATTCGATCCGAAAGTGGCTAATGATATGTGGTTTATCTAAAGACTTTTCTCCTTCGATCGATACTTTCTTAAAAACTTTTCAGTGTCCTTTTTTATAAATAAAATTCCTTGGACATTTTGATCAGATGCCTTGCTGAATACATGAGTTTTGATTGATCAAGTTTTATTTCAAAGAAAGGAAACTTGTTAGTAATGAAATGCCAGAAAACACCGTATTCGATCGGTGATCAGTCGATGAACTGTGTTAGTAAAATGAAAATTATCGAGAAAAACGTATGTCGAAGGTTTTGGACATAATTTCGCCACGTAAGTGAATTTGACGATGTCCCTCATGTCACTATAACCGGTCGAAAACCGTCGATTAACCGCGGTTTTTCTGCTTGAATTTTTCATTTCTCGGGTGTGGGTGTGGGTGTGGGTGGGGTGTGGGTGTGGATGTGGGGTTTGGATGTCGGTGTGGGTACGGTATAATAAGGTCTCGAACCCACACCCACACCTACAGTCGAAAAGAAGCAAAACCTTAGCATAAAAATTTATAAATACTATACTGGTCGTCGAAAGAAAGAAATCTATCTTACAATATGGAGAACTAATCTAGATAATTTTCATTGTTCTAACGAAATACATATCTACTTTGTTCCATACATCTTCTCTAATATTCTAGTCTATTGTCTAATCTTGCTCAAAGTGTCATAGGATGCAAGTTCGATTTGCTATTACACAGTTATCAATGGAGGATAAATACATTTTGAAGACACTTACTCTATTGCATTCATTGATATTGACATATAGTTGAAGCCACATTTTAACATAGTATTATCCTCTAAAATTGTTTTTCTATAGTTTTCATAGTTAGTCAACTTTCAATGATTCCATAAAAAACATGTTTTATGGGACTGGTGTACGCTATTGACGAAAGTGGCGAATGTAAATTTCGGGCATGGATGTATGTGAGACTGGTTGTGTGATGATTTCGGCATGTGAGCCACAGCAATACGCAATAATACATCCAAACCCACACCTGTGCTCATCGCATCAGTATGCTCGTCAACTTTCTCATAATTCACACTAACATGTTACAAATCAAGTATTAAGTTTACTTAATACCATATATGTGAAACTTGAAATTTGAATTCAATTGAAGTTTCAATTTTCAGCTGTCAAACTGCAATGCTTACAACAATCATGATTCCAAAAATCTTACACACATACAGTTGCGGCGGAAGAACTTTCAAGAAGAACGGCTAACACATTATCACACGGACACACCATCGCAGCAAGTGTGGGTGTGGTGAAAGGAGTTTTATGGAGCATGATTTGCACAGAAAGATGATCACAGCAGGCAATGGTGCAGCGAAAGTATCTTGAAAGTTGAAAGTTGAAATTTCAAATGAATTTAAGTTTCAAGTCTGACATTATTGCGCAGATTAGAATTGAAAGCATTTACAATTGACAACAAATTTGTCAATTGTTAAATGCTACATCTAGATAAGAAAATTCAAGCATATATGTGAGTTCTACATTTCAGTTATAAAGAAGCTACCCTAACAGACGTTTTTCTCAGATCAACAATTAGTTTGGCTTGTTATCACATAAAACTAAATGGACCATAGGATGGATACATCTGCATGTGGGTGTGGGTGTGGATGTGGGTGCGTGTGTGGGTGTTTGAACGAGAAGAACAACATCTCCACCACACCCACATCCACCCACACCCCACTCCCACCCCCACCCACATCCATACCCCACCCACACCCCACACCCACACCCACACCCACACCCACACCCACACCCACATCCACCCAC